CTCGCGTGCGCCTGACCTAGCCCGAGTGCGCCAACTAGCCAGCTCCGCCTGTCGCCCCTGAGAATCGAACCCTAGACCTCCCCTTCCCCGCGCCCACGCCTGACCACTGCGCCGATCCTGCAAAATGTATATAGTCAAGTATTATTTTATTTATATTACAATCTGCTGAATATTATGATTAAAACATTATTCATTTGAGAATTTTTTTTAATTGATAATTAAAATAAACTAGTTAATTAACAATTAATTAAAATATGTTATTAAATTATTAATTAAAATATACTATAAAATGATTAATAAATTAAATGTGTTATTAATTAAATAAACAAACTAAATTAATTAAAAAAATTAAATAACAATGTAAATAATAATTTTAAATTTAAATCCTTATACTTAAATTAAGGAAAAAAATAATATTATTTTTAGTCATTTTTTAAAAATAAAAAATTTAACTAATACAAAATTTTAAAATTCCGCCGGAAACCTTGAAAAGCCGTCGGAAAGCCGCCGGAACATTTTGCGGGAAATAAGCCGTCAAAAAGCCGCCGGAAAATTTTGCGGAAAATAAGCCGTCAAAAAGCCGCCGGAAATCCGCCGGAAAATTGATCGCCGGAAAGCCGCCGGAAAATTCCGCATGTAATAAGTGATTTTCCTGTAGTGATTTAATCAATTTCTTCTATTGAGGAAGGCATCATTTATGATGATTGATAAATATTAGTAAAATTATTTTAATAGGATCAAGCCTCTTAATTTCACTTCTATGAATTTTCCACATAAAAACTTCAGTGCCACTTACAAATATTTTATTCTTCTCTTTTATATATAATAACAAATATTGTATCTCTTTATTACTGTGAATATTCTGACACATAATATAGTGCCCAACATAATGGAAATATGAGCATTATACTAAGATCATTCTAAGAATAAGAATAAAAATCACTTTCAATGTGCTAATAACTGACTTCGATCATCTTACATACTGAAAGCATATGTCATACTTACACTTCAGGATAAGTATAAATGATTAAATATAATAAGGAAAAGTCCAAAAAGGAGTTTAAATCTTGGATCAAACTCCTATATATATATTATACAAGAGAACCTTTTTCTAACATTATTAATTATATTTGTTCAATTTCATAATGTCACATTACGACATATATCTCACTAAATTAGTCCAAAATAGGAAATACAAATTTCACAAATGAGGATCACTAAAAGAGCAAAAAATGATTACTGATACGTCTTCAAAAATTATCTTGATCGGGCACGAATCTCGATGCAAAATCAAGTTGGAAACTTCCAAAATTAAAATTGGGATCATCCGAACTCCGATTTCAGCAAACTTATAGTCGAATTGAGCGTCTCGGGAATATGAACCCAACGACACCAAATCCAACCCAATCCAAGCCCAAATGGGTTCGAATCAAAGAAGCACTATTGGAGGCTTTGAACCACAATTTAGATTACCAAATGGTTTCCAAACATAACGTGCTTATAGTCGAATCAAGCGGCTCAACAAGAAGAATCCAACGAGCCCAATATCACCAAAATCCGACATCACTAAGACAATCAAATGTCCATCAAATGGTTCATGATCAAGGGATTCAACATCAGCCGTCCATTCAACCACTCCTCAGTTACCATTGATCTCTCACATATTTATGAGCCATGCCACTCCAAAAATCTATAAACAGACCCCTCATTTCTCTTGAAAAGGGATCAAAGTAAAAAGAGAAGAATAGAAGAACAGAAGAGAAGGAAGAGAAGGAAGAAGCTCCTCCTCGATCACCGCCTAAGCTTCGCCAGACCACCACCTGAGGCCCTCGCCTTCGCTGGACTACCACTTGAGGCCATCGCCTTCACCGGACCACCACTTGAGGCCATCGACTTCGCCGGACCACTACTTGAGGCTCTCTCCTTCGTCGAACCACCACTTGAGGCCCTCACTCTCATCGGACCTCCATTTGAAGCCATCTCCTTCGCCGGACCACAACCTGAGGCCCTCACCCTCACCGGACTATAGCTTGAGGTCCTCGCCTTCGTCAGAACACCACCTGAGGCCCTCACCTTCGCCGGACCACCACCTAAGGGCATGAACTCCGTCATACCACTACTTGAGGCCCTAAACTCCGTCAGACCGTCAACTGTCGTCAAAGTTCTACTCAGTCACTATCGGACTACTAGCCGACGCCCCAACTTCCAATTGACGCTAGATTTAACACTAGACTTCAACCATACAGTTCACATTTGTAATCTGATCGCCCTCAAGGATGAGTCAGTCCACTGTACTCAACTCAAATTCTAGTGAAATCTTTTCAATTGAGCTAGGCCCTATGATTTTTCCCCTTTTCGGGATTTTCCACGTAAAAAATATTATGTTTTCTATGTGTGAGTTGGATATCTGTGCAACGCTAAGATGTAAAATTACAACTCTATCGCAGCATATGTATATTCTAGCCCGCAACAATTACCATTCTCAATGGCATAAATAATTTGAAGTTATAGTATTTTATTTAGGCTTCATTTGGAATGACTTTTTTACTGTTTCTTCTTAAAGCAATTTTTTAATACAATAATTAATTCTTTTTATTAAAAACCTGCTTTAAGAAGTAATAAGAAAGTCAACTCAAACGAAGTCTTAGGCTTCGTTTGGGACGGCTTTTTATTGTTTCTTAAAGCAATTTTCTAATAAAATTTCTATTCAAATTTAGGCTTCATATGTCTGGCCTCTTATTCCCAAATTTCTATTCAACTTGGTTTCAAGTTTCAGCCATTATGGTCCGAACTACATGAACCCTGTTCATGATGCCATCAATTTGTGTCCATCATGCATTATTTTGTATGTATTGAGAGAACTATAGAGAGGGGAGAGAGACAGAGAGAGAAGAAGAAGAAAAAGAAGAAGAAGACGAAGAAATCTCTCTTCAATATGTAAGCCAACGCTGATGACAAAAGAGAAAAAAAAGCTCAAGCTAATGACTTACTGAAAGATTTCATCTTGCAATATTGAATTGCGCACGTTAGACTATTGTTCAGAAGAAGAGTAGATAAATACTAAAAATACGCATAGTTTATGAGCTAAGCACCAATTAATATAGTGAGGAATTGAGAAAAATAAATGATACTTAGGCCATATACGTTATCAAAAATAAACTTGTGAGTTGTGACACTCATAATGCACATCATAAATAAATCATAAATGTCAATAAATTAAGAACCAAAAGCCCTCGCTCAAGCAGTATGTTTTTTATTTTAAAATATCAGAATCTTTTTTTCCTTATGTAAATTTGTAATTTATTTTGCTTTTATACCCATCTTATAATAAATAAAATATATGAAATTAATAGATTATTATTCTTAAAAAAAATACATATCATTTTGCACGACTTGCGCCTTGAATATCATGAATAACATAAAATTATGAAGGAAAATGCATAAGCATACCATGATAGAATTTTTTTTAAGAAAGAAAGCATATTCAGAGGCTTACCGTACGTTTCTTGAAATCATATGAAGAACAATCAGCAGTGATAAAATAAGATATAAGTAGATAAAGATCAATTAAGGAAAGTCATTTATTGCCGTTGCAGCATCATCAAGATTCGCATGCCCTTAAAGCCACCACTCAAGATAGCGAAGTTGCTAATCTTGATGATACGGCAGCAGCAAACAATGACTGATAACTCTTTTTTCACCGCCCCACTCAGCTTGCAGACCTCAAACCCTAAACCTTAGAAAGAGAGAAAAACAATAGAGAACCTGAAGGATGAGGAAGAGAACGAGATCTGGTTACGAATGAGATGAAGAACCTTTTGAGAGTGAGAGGTATAAATAGAGTCCTCTGACTCATGAAACTGCCAAGTAGTGCGTTAATTATGCTTGAATTCTTAACGTCTAAGGTAAATTAATTAAAAAAAATAGTGCGGTTTAATAAAAGAAAGAATGAGAAAGATAGATAGCTAGAGAGAGAGAGAGAGAGAGAGAGAGAGAGAGAGAGAGAGAGAGGAGACTGTTACACATTGCAAACCATTTGTCAGTACTGGAAAATTTGTAATATGGGACACAAACAATTAAAAGCTCAATTGGGGATATATTGAGAGGGAACAGAGAGGGAGCTTCATACAAATGGCAAAAAACCTGAGGCCTAAACCCTAAAATAATGGAAAAAGAAGGTATGAATCTGTATATATGACGTGGTTAGCTTGACCAGCTATGAGTAGCCCAGTGACGGTGCTAGAAATTTTATTCAGGGGGGCCTAAATTAAACCTTACATGAAAATCACCCATTAACGGCGTAATTTTCCAACGGTCAATTTTCTAGCAGTTTTTCTGATGGTCAATTTTCCGGCGGCTTGCCATCTCATCTGGAATGTTACAATACATTAAAATAATTATGTTTGTTGTTTCATTATTGGAGCCAAGAGGAGCTGTAAGATCAAAATTATGAATGCCAATAACATGGCGAGAGAGGAAAAAAAAGCCATTTGGGAGCGATCTCTGTTTGGGCTTGTGATAGGATAGTTAGAGTAAAATTTTTTAAAAGAAAGTTATTGTGAAAATTAAATTTTGTTTAAATTGACTTATTGTCACTTTCAGTAAAATTTCTTGCATGTTAAAACATAGAATTATTAGGTCTTATTTTTTATAAAAATAATGCTAAGTTTCTTATGTAAATTGATCTTATACATTAAAATTTGCTTTAAAATGAGTGTAATACATAAAAAAATCAATTAAAATGTATATTACGTACACATATCTCAAAATAAATACAATATGTTTAAAATCAATTTTGACAAAATAATAGATCAATAAATTATGTAACTATTTTTTTATAAATAGGTATTAGGTTATGATACGTCATGCAAAAATTATCTTGATCGGGTACGAATCTCGAGGCAAAAAGTTAGTTGGAAACTTCAAAAATTAAATCCTGGAGCACTTGAACTTCGATTTCAGAAAACTTATAGTCAAACTGAGCGTCTCGGAAATACGAACCCAACGACACCAAATTTGACTCAATCCGAGCCCAAATGAGTCCAAATCAAGGACCTAAAAGCGCTGTTGGAAGGTTTGAACCACAATTTGAGTTATCAAACGGTCTTCGATTTTGACAAGTTTATAGTCAAATCGAACGGCTCGACGAGACGAATCTAACGAGCCCAAGATCGCCTGATTCTGACATCATTAAGACCTTCAAATGGCTGACGAATGGTGTATGATCAAAGGATTCAATATCAGCTGTCCATTCATTGTATTCATATCATGTGATGTACTCTATAAAATGTATATCAAGCTAAGGCCTTCTCTCAAAGAAGGGCCTCATTTGTAATCGACTGCAATACTAGTGGATTCATTCAAACTGGTCTAGGACCCGTGGTTTTTCCCTCTTTTCAGGGATTTTCCACGTAAAAATCTTGGTGTCTCATAAATGCTAGACCCTCTCTCTTATTTGATTGCGTGCTAGATTTTCGTACAACGCTAAGACGATAAACTTTATATTTCTCTACTGCCACGAATACTCCTGGACGCAATAGTTACATGCATTAAAAATCATGACTAAATAATTATAGTTTATACCTACAGCTTTTATTTAAAAAAAAAAAAATCTTTTTAGGGGGGGCACGTGCCGATCGCATCTTAAAATTATGCTTTATACTATATTAAGCAGCGATTGTTGGTCGATCATAAATTGAGATGAGATCGGTTGACTCCGCTTGGAGGTTGGTTCAAGAAGAACTAATTCCCATTAGATTTCAAGCTCACCCATAATTAAGCAATTCTAGATGCTGAACTCACCACGCACGTGAATTACAAAATTTTGACCATTTGCTTATTAATACTCATAGGAACATGCTTAAATAATTTTTTTTGAAATATTTTTTTTTCTTTCAATCTTTTTCTATAATTAGCTTTTTAATTAATTGCAGCTAGATGTGACCATTTGAAGAGTTGTGCATTACTTAATGCAGTAATTATTTTTAATTACTGTGTGATTATGGTTTTAAACATGCTTTGAAAGGATCTGCTTGTTGATTTGCTGGGGACTAAATTAAACTTGGTAGAAATTCAATATAGTATTAGCAATAATGTTTTATTTATGGCAGTTTTAATGCTTCTTAAGACAGTTTTTTAGTAAAAAATAAAAAAATTTCTACTAAAAAACTGTTTTAACTAGTAAAAAAGCCGTCCCAAACAAAGTCAAAGTCCTACTTAATTATGCTGTCCAGCTAAATTTTTTGACGTATTATCCTTTTTTTTCCTTTTTTAAAGTTATTGCTTCTATAGTTGTTTAAAGTCATATAGATTAATCATAAGAGAATTTTCATACGTAAAATTTAAAAGTTTATGAGAAAGAATCCCTCGGAAATTGCCGCAAGGAGATTCTTACTTGTGTTAATGAAGGGACTAATTAAGGCTAGATAATTAAGGACTATAAATAAAACAAAAAAAAGGAAGGACTTTTGTTTGCTTTCTGCGGTCCAGATTAACTTATTGGAATCACACAAAAATTATTTGTTCGCATGTAATTTTGATGCATGACACAAATATTAGAGAATTAAAAGAGTCTAGAGAGACTTACTGACCTTCAATTTCACTTTATACATGTAATTTAAAATTTTGATGAAAGCAAAATAATATAAATAATTATTTAAGAGAATAGTCTATTGTGATGAATCCCATATCTACAAAACTCTTGATTTCAAGCACAAAATGTGACAAAATTGGAGCAATTGATGTGATCACTAAGTTGATCAAAATATTCTCTTCATCGCGGGTGACTCTGTTGCAAGCGAAGACGAAGCCGATGGCCACTGCTGCATTCATTTTGAATGTTGGGGAGATTGTAAAATTACGTATCCTTTAATATTTCTACATTAATAATTTTGTTATTTGGATGTAGCGGCGTGCTTTCACTATAATTATGTAATCTATTTGACAATATGAAAATTGTAGCTAAATAAAATTACAATTGTTGTCTAAAAAAATAAATCAATAAAAAATTATTTTAAACGGATGCTAAGTTAATCTTAATTAAAATTTGAATTAATAATAGACTTATCAGTATTTAAATTATTAGTGATACGTCACCAAAAATATGTTTTGAT